AGTTAAGAGGGAATTTTTTTTTTTTTAAACAGTGACTTCAAGTAATCATGAAAATGACTCAAAATGATTTTTTTTTGACATTTTTATATTCGAATCACTCGAACCAGACAGAAGGTGAAGAATGTATGCAACGTAGCTCCTCTAGTTTTGGTTTCTTCTCATTAACCTTTGAACAAGAGGAGTTCTGATTGAAAACATATAGGATTTCAATCTTACGTGCAATGTACTTTTGTACTTTACTTTGACGTGAATTTATAGTTTTTTTTTGGTTTTAGTAAAAATATCGATTTTTCTATGTGTTTAATGTGTACGTAATGTTTTTAATTATAATTAGAACTAGGGTCGTATAAACAACATTAATTATGCATGTCCCTGGATATAAATAAATCATTACAATTGCATTAAATATTAGGTAATTTACTAACATGTCTAGTTTCCTAGTTGTCTAGTTTTTTTAGTCGTCTTTCTTTATGGTGTCATGTTGTCTACTGTCTAGTTTTCTACTTGTCATGTTGTCTGCTTTTATATTTGTCTATTTGTCTATTTGTCTAATTGTCTATTTGTCTATTTGTCTATTTGTCTATTTGTCTATTTGTCTATTTGTCTATTTGTCTATTTGTCTATTTGTCTATTTGTCTATTTGTCTATTTGTCTAATTGTCTATTTGTCTATTTGTCTATTTGTCTATTTGTCTATTTCTATTTGTCTATTTGTCTATTTGTCTATTTGTCTATTTGTCTATTTGTCTATTTGTCTATTTGTCTATTTGTCTATTTGTCTATTTTTCTATTTTTCTATTTGTCTATTTGTCTATCTGTCTAGTAGTCTAGAAATGCCTAAAAAACTAAAATTTGGATTTTTATTGTTGCGACATATATTCCAATCTCCTGTTTTTTAAGACACCCTACATATATGACATTGTGTACTATTTTGAACAAACTTCTAAGAGTTGGCACACTATCCCTTTAAACACCAGGGATAAATAATTCTCACTTTATTTNGAGGGGGGGGGGGTAAAGGAAAAAGTTGCAAAGTAATTTTTAGGCTATAATTGGAAAAAGTTAAAAAATTAAGATTTAAATTTATTTTTGTAACTTTTGATGTCCCTGTTCATTATAAGAAGACAGTAATATAAATAGATATGTAATAGCTGGAGGAGACCATATTGTCAATATAAATATAAAATATTAAGTGTCATTTGATGCCAATTATATTATTATTTACAAAAATCAAAACAAAAATATATTCAGTATGTTAGAGACCGTCATATCTTCACATATGGTAATGAGATTTTTTTAAGCTGTCGTTTTTTGTAAAAAAAACACAGAAAATGTTGGTTCAAGACATTTCTTTTAATCAAATAAGAAAAAATTTAATTCATTTTTAACAAATTAGCATATTAATAATTTATAAAAATGTCTGGGATTGTCATGTTAATTTGTCTAAATTAGTTGTACACCTGCCGATGTAATTCCCCCTATCTTCTCTAAATCCCCCCCCTACTTTCAATTACCCCCACCCCTCCCATTTCATCCATTTTTAAATATCTACAGAGAGTCCTCTATATATATATGTATATATTAAAATTCCAACATGGAGTGCGAGAAATGGGAGAAAACATGGAGTGCGAGAAATGGGAGAAAACATGGAGTGCGAGAAATGGGAGAAAACTGTGAAATTTATGAAATGAGGAAGCAGCCCTTTGTGAAAACATCAAAGTCCGAATTGAGAGCTGGCTTAAATCTTGAAAAATTTAATACAATTTTAAGTGGAACCAACCATATTTGATTAAATTTAATCATGTAATTTGCCTAATTAAATAAATGCTTTATCAATGAAACGATCTGTATATGAAAATGTATTGTCTACGTAATTTTCTGTCTATAAAATGTTCTATTTATATAGGATGTCCTGTTGTATAAAATGTTCTATTTATACATAATGTCCTGTTGTATAAAATGTTCTATTTATATATAATGTCCTGTTGTATGAAATGTTCTATTTATATATAATGTCCTGTTGTATAAAATGTTCTATTTATATTTAATGTCCTGTTGTATGAAATGTTCTATTTATATATAATGTCCTGTTGTATAAAATGTTCTATTTATATATAACTTTCTGTTGTATAAAATGTTCTATTTATATATAACTTCCTGTTGTATAAAATGTTCTATTTAAATATAATGTCCTGTTGTATAAAATGTTCTATTTATATATAATGTCCTGTTGTATAAAATGTTCTATTTAAATATAATGTCCTGTTGTATAAAATGTTCTATTTATATATAACGTCCTGTTGTATAAAATGTTCTATTTATACATAACGTCCTGTTGTATCAAATGTCCTATGTATAAAAAGTCTCAACATTATCAATTGTAGTACATGTACCCCTCCCCATCTCTACCCGTCCCCCCTCTTTCTTTTTATATTTAAATAATTTTTCCAATATTATTATTTAAATACCAAAGTAGTTGTTAATTTGTTTAATTATTTAAATTTTCAAATTTTCATTATCATTTTGAATGCTAGTTACCATTTCAGAATATTCAAATATGAAAAATTGGAATATTAATTTTTATCAATAGGGGAGTAAATTATATCTTTTTTAATATCACACTCGGAAATTTAGTTACATTCAGGTTTGAAGATCAGCGAGCCTTCAATTTCGAACCAATGTTAATTCATTTAATGAAAATATACTTAACCTTCTTTTTGGGTGATCACAGGCTTGTTTAATGGAAAATACTTATATAGTTCATCGATAAAAAGAGAAAATTTTATTCAAACATAACATTTCTAAGATTAGAGCCCTTTACTTTACGGGCAGCCGTAGTACATTTGTATTTCCGAGCCGGGTCAACCTTTCCGGTCCCAGTTTGTACTGGACCTAGCTCTATGGACAGGACGGGCGGTGTACCAAGGTTGACGCGGTCAGACTTTATGCTTCATATAGGTTGAATTTACTTTTACTAAAGGGGCAGATTTGCGTGACTTATACCTTTGGGGCTCAATAAACCCCCCGCCTCTCCTTTTCTTTATTTGTGTATTCCAACCTCCACCTCCCAATCAACCACCTTATGTTTTGAAGTGTTTAAATAATACATATTTGTTTGTCTTCTATATTTGCTGTTTATATATAAAGTGTGTCCCTAAAATAATTTTTAAAAATTTAAAAATTTTTAAAACCAAAAATTATATTTTTAAGAATACAAATAATTTTAGGCTTTTCCAACATAATTTTTTTTTGTTGGTTTTTTTTTTGGACAACCGGTCCATATTTGATGTTTGTATAATTAAGTGGTTAGATTAATCACTTACTGCGCCCACTGTATACACAACTTCAACAAATAATAATAGTAATAATATTAAAAATATTAGTAATAATAAAACCATTTATATCTATTGCTATGGTTTTACCATTTATTATCATCTATATAATAAAACAAGACATTCGTATATATATGTTGCGTATAGCCGTCTAAACGGCTGGACCACTTGGGCTGATATTTTTTGTAGATACTTATGGGTAAAGGGGGGGGGGGTTACACTTACAGGATAAAAAAATTCAATTTTTTTTCAAAATATAAAAAAAAATTCTTACATTTTTCACGGGCAACGCCAGGTCCTTCAGCCAGTTATTATTATTATTATTATGATTATTATCTAGGATGATAATGACAGTATAGCTGACACTGACCCTGAGAAGGATGTTCGGCCGGAGAAGGATTTGGTCGGAGAAGGTGATGTAGAGGATAGAGAAGGAGGCGGAGCAATGAACCTCTCCTCCCGTCCTAACTCCGCCCCCACACACAACACAAACAACGAGATGGAACACGAGGTCAAGTCAATTATCTTTTATTTTGTTTTATAAAATCCGATTTTTTTGTTTTGTCGCAAAATGATACCGATAACTTCGCAAAATTTGGCATTGTTTGTAAAATGTTGACTACTAATTGTCTAATACATATTCTTTTATTTAAAGTTTTTTTCCACTTAGAATTTCCTTATTTTTAGAGACGTTCCATACCATAGCAACACCCCCTAGTGTTGGGAATTTAAACTATGACTGCCGTAATCTAGTGTAAACCCCGTAATAATCCCCCGATAGTTAGACCCCTGGGGACCAAATATATCCGGAAATATAGAAATATGAAATAAATGTATTTAGAGGAAAAAAAGAATCTTAAACTTTGTATGTAAAAGGGATGTTGTATGATGGAAATCCTATAAATATCCCAATATATATATATTTGTCATGAAATATGTTTGATTGTGAGCTGTCTGTATAGAGTCTATTGTGTCTATTGTGTCTATTCCCAGTGTCTATTATGATGTGAGGGTTTGACCATTATTGGAGAAATCAACCATTCTTCTTCTTTTGTGTTTTTTTATCCTTTTCAACATTTATATATTTTCACAGTAAGTTTGTTTGTGATTTGTGGTACAGTTTGTTTTCATTAAGAAGTCATTTTTGTTCACATTTTGCAGTACAGTTGGTTACATTTCTTAGTAAGTTTATTTTTTTTTGCGGTGCAGTTTTTTTACTATTTTGAAGTGCTGCTTTGCTGTTTACATTTTATATCTTTGCGCCCTGTTTTTATTCCACCTTTTACCAAATTCTACACTCCATTCCTA